GGTGCTGGCCACTGTCGGCAGACAGGCTACTGGGCTAGATGGACCTTTGGTCTGACCCAGTACGGCCATTCTTATGTTCTTATTATCTGAAAACATCTACTCAATGTGCAGCATGAATAAAAAAAAATCTAACAATGTTAGGAACCATTAAAAAAAGGGATAGATATTAAAAACAGAATATCATATGGCCACTATATAAATTCATGATGCACCCATACATTGAACTGTGGAATTTTGGTCTCCAAAAAGATATATTAGAGGTGGAAAAGGTGTAGAGAATAGCAACAAAAATGATCAGGAGCATGGAACAACTTCTGGATTAGCAGAAATTAAGAAGACTGCAACTGCCCAGCTTATAAAAGGGATAGCTAAGGGAAGGAATATGACTGAAGTCTAGAAAATAGTGTGAAGGAAGCGAATAGGGAAGTGTTAAATACCACTTCACGTAACACAAGAACTAATGGTCACCTCATCAGATTAATAGGCAGCAGTTTTAAAAACAAAAAGAGCAAAGTACTCCTTTGCCCAATGCACCAACCTGGGGAAACTGAGAAAGCCAAAAGTGTAACTGGGCTCCAACTAACAAAAGTTGGAACTATAGGACAGGGAACAGATCAGAGACAGTAGGTCTATTCTGTTCATTCCCCCTGAATCATCTGGTACCAGCCACTGTCAGACAGGATACTGAGTAAATGAATCATTTGTTTGACCTATCATGACTGTTCTTACATTATGCTGAGTGAGTTGTTGGCTGGTGAAAATGGACATTAAACTCGTTAAACTTGAGGACCAAGCTCACACACTATTTTTAAAACAGAAGTGCCACTTAGCATATTTACACTTGCCCTCTATAGATCTCAAAGCACTTTACAAAAGCGGGCACTTATAATCCCCATACTACAGATGGGGAACTGAGGCACAGAGAAGCGACGCAACTTGACCAAAAGCACACAGCCAGTCAGTGACAGGGCTGGGAATGGAACCCAGGTATCCCATTCTTGTGCCCTTAATTACATGGTCTCCTAAAAGCGCAGAGACCCTGCACAAATTAACACTTTTGATATTGTGCAAATGTGACCAGTTTTTGACCTGTGGAATTCAGGGGATCAGTGGCTCCTTCTGCAGCCTTTGAAAGCGTCACTCCATGGAGGTAAATGCTGTAGGGTCGACTGGCCATATTTTTGAACACGATCTAGAGAGATATGGAGATGCAGAAAATATAAGTTCAGCTTTCAGTGACTCCTGGTCTGGGAACATTGCTACAAGTCCTAGTGAGTGTGGAACTTGCAGGGTTTCAGCACTGGAAGAGCTGAGTGAAAGAGACAGTTTTGAAAAGAAAATCTGGGGATATCCATCCAGAAACTCTATTGCAACGGGAGCCCGCTGATTGGGGTTCCTCATGCGCTGCCTGGTCTCTGGAGGCTGATGAGAATGCCATCCTCAAGTGAAGTCCCACGTTACCAGGCACAGGGAGCCATAGGGAGTGCTGAGTGATGGACTGGAATCACTAGGAGCCTTGAGTGATCCCAGCAGTGAAAACTGGACAGGCAAGATAACCACCCCCACCCCCACCCACTCCCTTTACCAGCTTCCAGGAACCGGGCCGGGGACGGGGGTGAGGGGAGAGAGAGTCGCATGGAGCCGGGTGGAGAGAAAGGAAGCTTTTCACCGAACACAACTGCAGAGCTACAAAACCATCCTTTAAGGATTGTGTGGCTTTGGGATGTATCTATCTGGGATGGCGGCAAGTCCAGGAGACACGCCACTATGATACCACAGAACATCTCAACATCATGTGGGGCTGTACGATATGGATTTCTAGCTTCATCTGAGGACTCCCCTCAGATGTCGCTCTTCAGCTTTCAAGGGTGAGCACCCATCTTAGGGTGCGTCTACACAGCAGGATTTAACTCGAAATAAGCTACGCAAATTGAGCTACATCAATTGCATATGTTATTTTAAAACAGCTTATTTCGAAATTGGGAGCATCTACATAGCACTTATTTCAAAATAGATCACTCTTCCTCCGACTTCTGTTACTCCTTGTACAATGAGGGTTACAGGAGTCCGAGTAAAAAGGCCTCCAGCTGGACAGTATTTTGAAATAACTTTGGTATAGCGCTAGTTATTTCAAAACAGTGTTGCAGTGTAGACATACCCTAAGAGAACTAGAGATTATGGGTTCACAAAGTTACAACACAGATCTGAACTTCCCAAAAGTTCAGGTGTATTTGGAGTAGGTGTTATGGACCAACCATTCTAAATATTCTTTACAAAAAGCAAGTGTCCACGTGAAGTTAAGAATTGATAAACCAATCACTCCAACCCAAGAATGGTAGAGATCACAAACAAACTTAAGTATGCCCCCTGGTGCTCACACCTTCAGATACTGCTGCCCTCGATATTACATAATTGACAAAGAATGCAAAATAAGTTGTAAATAAGCCTCACTTATAGTAAATTACATCATTCACAGTACATACAGCCTTTGCATTGGGCTCTCACCACTTGCCTTGATTCTGTCTCGGACTTGAGCTCTGATAATAGGACCCAAAATTCCTGTTTCCTGGGGCCGGGGATTCTCTAGACGCTTGTTAAAGTTGGCATCTGTATATTGCCTGAAAACAGCCTTTTTATACTTCTTCCCAATGAGATTTGAGAAGTTGTCCAAATACTGAGTTTTATAGTGCCTTTAAAAAGAAGAGAAAAGAGAAAAGAAAAAGTATCAGTAAAATCTTCTTAATGGTGAGATCCAATAGATTGCAGAATACTCTCCCACGGGAAATGGCAGAGGCCATGAGAAAAACAGACTTAGATGAGACACAGTCTCTATAAAACAGATTATTATTTGTGCTACAGCAGCAGTGAGGTCAGGGTCAGGGTTCTCATTGCTAGACACCATCCACACACTGGCTGTGTCTACACTGGCATGAATTTCCGGAACTGCTTAAAACGGAATACTATTCCATTTTCATTTCCGGAAAAGGAGCGTCTACATTGGCAGGCTGCTTTTCCGGAAAAGCCCTTTTTCCGGAAAAGCGTCTGTGGCCAATGTAGACGCGCTTTTCTGGAAAAGAGCCC